ACTTTCTGAAATGAATGATTGCTGATTAGTGATATCCCAAACTCTGCGAGAATGGAAATGCATAGTCATCGTAGTCAAGCATTCACGTTCCATTGTAAAAGTGTCTCAGGCAAACGGTAGGTATTTTGCGGTGAATTTTGAGCCGTGTGGAAATGCATCATGAAATAAATTCAACGAAAACATAAAACATTATCACGCAACGATATCTTCACGTCTTTTGATCTTCACTATACGGAAGAACATACATTTTTGAGTATGTATGGGGAATTTCTAGTTAATCCGATAATAAATATGGCAGTTAGAGTCCTGCTAAGAGTAACATGTCGCCGGCTGAGGCGGGATCGGCCGACGCGGGAAACGCAGCAGTCACAATTTTGTGTTTACACGTTCATATTTCAATTGTTTACCAACCTATTTTCAGAATTCTTTCACCATAAGATTGCCTGTACATTTCTTAGTCTTCTCACAAAATTTGACGCGAATCGAACGTAATCAGCGGTAAGGAGCGCGATGTAAAGACGGAACCGTTCCGTTCCGTCCCGGCACAGTCTACAATTCAGGCGGCGCGTAGCGGTCGGCGCCGGCTGCCGAGTCGCCGCGTCGCCGCGGCGACAGGATGTTCACTTTACACCGCTATTACTAGAACAGTTGTGAACCGATTTTCTTATTGCTTGCACGATGAGATGTGCAATTCAATTCTGGACAGGTAGCCATAAGTAATTTCGCATCAATATTATGAGATATTGGCGAAAAACAGGAGGGGTGGGGCGAAATTCACTCTTCCCCCTCCACTGCGCGTGCTAACATACGTTTGCATATGTGCCATTTTCTTCAAAACTTATGAATAGCCCACTCTAATTTTTTCACAGGTTGTTAAGAATATGGTAGGCAATAAGATATATGAAAATGAGCCAAATCGAAGGTGGCGTGTTTTTTGCTATTTCAATTTTTGTGCTTAAGAACAGAGTTAAGCAAATTTCAAGGTCATATATTTAAGTTGATGCAATTCTAAACAAATGCTTAAGAAATTACCTTAACAGTAAGGTTTATTTCATTCAAATCAAACAAGTACAACCAAAGTTATGGTCGTTCAAAAATATAAAGATGCAACATTTTGTAAAAATTTGATGCCCTATATTTAGAAGACCTGTGGTCAGAATGTACAAAAAACATCAATGTAATGTCCGGGGCGACACAGGAACTCGCTCACAAATTTATAATGAAATCGCTGATGGTAAGGTGCAAAACAGTCGATTTTTGTTCGATTTGACGTGGAATGCCCCTACTTCAATCAGCGTGCACTTTTTTGAGACGTGATGCACTTTTGAGTTTTAGTGGGCGAACGGCCAAAAAATTGCCTTCCGTTCTCATAAATGGGAACGCCCGTTCCCATATTTGGGAACTCCGTTCCCAAAAATGGGAACGTTCCTATATTTGGGTACTCATGACCATAGTTCCGCCTACTGAATTACATAATATAAAACTGGCGCTTTATGTTCTAACTGGTGTGTGAGTGACCACTAACAGAAAATGCAGATCAACGAAGCCAATGGAATTAGATTATAAGTGAGCATGAACCTTACTTACGGTTAATTCACATGATGGTGAAAACCCTGAACACGTAATTCACATGACGGTGAAAACCCTGAACACAATATTTCTGACGCGAGCTGTTGACTTTACTAATAAAATGACGTCTTTTTCTAAAAATGTAAAAATTTGATACTTTATCTTTGTTTGAGAGCAAGTTTTTAACTTTATTGCATTATTATTCATAAATTATAAATTTTTTGGCTGTTTATAGTGAAACAAAACAATTTTTTGCGACTTCTTTGCTATTGACGTCATTTAAAACTCAAGTAAAATTTTTGATTGAAAGAGGCAATTGTGGCTCGCACGTCCTTAGGGATTTGAGCGAAGATCATTATTTGGAAAAATCAAAATAGATGAATGTTTTTCTTTCTTGGATGCTCACTAGTGTTTTGATGCCTTGCATATCAAATTAGTTTGAGACTTGCTCAGAAGGCTGCTTCAAGCCTGGCATATCACACCCCAGAAAATATGCAAGGTAAGAAAGAAGCAAGAGTTTTGACTAGACAATCACTGTTTGACAGTCCATCAACTTCAGTTTCATTTTCCATACCTAACATTGATAATGAAAAGCATCAGGGTCTGTTGTTCTGTTCCACAACCATGCTTCAGGATTTGGCATTAGATGTCTACACTGCTAGTGCTTCTATTCTGGTTCGTTGTTTATGTTTTCTGTCTATGTAGGTACCTACCTAACCATCTTTCTTAACCCCTTGCATTTGCAAGGGCTTGTGTAGGCATGCGTTGCGCATCAGGCTTCAGGCCAGGCCTTCGGCCTAAAGCCAGATACACAACCACTTAACCTATGATGCTTCATGAGCTTGAGAATCAATAGCCCATTGCAATGTGCTTTTGGCTATATGTTTCAACTAAAAACTTATTATATACTATTTGGTTGCATTTCATTGAAAGTATCCACGGCCGGCTGACGGCTGGCTGCCCACAGTTTGCCACGGCTGTGGCGGCTGTGGCTGTGGAGCCACGGCTGCGGGGCGGCTAGGCTGTGGAAAATTGCAGCCGTGCAGAACTCTACTCCGCAGACCTAGCAGGGCTACGGAGTCGACAGATTTTCGGTGACTCCGACTCCGACTCCGGCTCGGGTTTCTAAAATCGACTCCGACTCCGACTCCGACTCCGGTCACAACTGTCGACTCCGACCGACTCCGACTCCGACTCCGACTCCGACTCAGCAGCCCTGGTTATACGGCTTTGCCAGAACTGCCAGTTGCCACTGTAGCAGTAGTGCGAGGGGTAAGCCTGCAAATGTAATATGTCTCTAGGATAAGCTCGCCAGGCAACTTGGCCATTTGGACTTACCGCTTCTCGTTCTCAGCCTTGACCCCCGGGCCCGGGATCGTGTGCCTCCTCTGCGCCCGATGTTTCAGTGGTGTCCAGCCTGAGCCGACTGTTCCAAGGCGGCAGATTCGAGCCATACTTGATCATGGGGCTCATGGCGGATGGAAAGATCGAATTGAGAATGAGATTCCTGAAGCACCTAAGGAGTGAATAGATCGAAGGAAGATCACAACAATTCACTATTCACAAGTCATAACACCGGCACAATCATGATCGCAGCAAGGGCCAAGGCCAAGCCAAGGCCCTATCCGTCCGAACCCCGTGGGAACCGTGGGAACCGCGCGGTGCAATGCGTATAATTATTTGGCAGCATTTCAGCGAGAGAATTTCCTTCACTGCGGAGGCAAAATGCGACATAAGTGGATGACCTGTTTCAAAATCGAAACAGACGCTTTTTGTTTTGAACGCTTGGGTTGAGATTGGTTGGGATTGAGAGATTTTTGAGAGGTTTTGGTAATTTATTATCTACTACACAGAAATTAGAAAAGCATTTTGTCATATGTGTACCCAGCTATAAGGGGTCAATTATTACGCGCTAAATCATCAAGAAGATATCATTCTGCTTCCAGGGATATTGCCGCTAATATCTCAATCTGTTTCTACCTTGAGCTAAACTTGAACTGAAAAATTTCAGCTCAAGCTCAAAGCTGGAGAGTGGGGTAAGTGTGTGCGCGGCTATGTGTACACGTTAAAAAAGGGACCCACCCACCTTCAAAAAAGTTAATGAATTCGTATAATCATAAAGGTGACGTCGCTCGGATCAGAAAGAGCGAAAACACACTACCTCCAGCCATATACACAGAAGTGTGACGCCTGCTTTACAACTACCACAATTTATTGGCTATGTGGTTGACTGCTTTGACTTCAACTTGGGCCTGTTTTGTCCATGAAAGATCCTGAATAGTGTAATGCTAAAAGAATCAAATCTGTAGACTGAACCTGAACTGGTACCTACTGTCGCAATTCAAAGGTTCATGCTCAAAATGGGTGAGATGTTTTCTTATTTGTATTAGTATTGTTTCCTCAGTTTCATTGGTATGGAATGCCAGAGGGAGCAATTGCTTTTTATTTGTTATTCATATTTCATCATTCTTTTCATCTTTATTTCATTTTTTCATCAATCTTTGTTAATCAGTCTTTTTTGCCCATTTACAGAACAGTTGGGCAAACTAGGCGGCGGGAATCAAAATATGGAGGCATCAAAATATTGATTCTAGTGGGCGGAGCTTTGACCATATATGGGCATACGTGCAGACCATCACAGAAACGTCAATTCTTCAGCAACCGGCTACAATTTCAAGATAGTTTCTTCACAAAATGAAGAGCAACGTTGAAGCTACCCGCCAGGCACGAAACAATAGCTCTAACCTCTTAGGTTAGTTTAGGAAAGCGTCTTGAAAATAATCAAGATATTGATTCATCACGGCGGCTAATCCCGGCGAGAATCAATATTTTGATTCCGCAAACAGCTGGCTAATCATTATTTTGATTCTGAAATCAGCTGGTTTATCAATATATTGATTCTGCGAACTGACTTTCTGCAGACGTACTTCACTCTTCAAATTGATTTATGGAACGTTTCTTGTGTGCAAATAATGCAAATTCAATAAATTCATGAAGATATTATCAGCACAGGATCGTGTAATTTTTTTTCTAGACCTTATTCCCACGGTAGACCAGGGATTTTCAGCACTCACCTGCTCAAAGCTGCAAGCCTTCGAGGGAATGCGTGAAGGGAGCCGTGCTGACCTTTGTATAGGGGTTGTACTGAGTCGGAGCCGGAACCGAAGCCCGACCATTTTACTCGGAGCCGGAGCCGGAGCTGGAGCCGATTTTTTCCTCCGGAGCCGAAGCCGTCTGACATTTTCACGGCTCCACATCCCTGCTTTGTAGCATTGATTTTGAGTAAAAAAAAAAAAGGTTAACTTATCGTCTTTCACGTGTTCATGAATGTGTTTCTACGCATCTGTATCCCGTCCCATTTCTGTGGAGTACAGAGAGATATTTCGCCGAACAATATACTCAAGCCCGTTGCACAAATTGCACAATTTGAATGAAAATATGATACACGGATGTATTTGCATTCGCAAATAATACGATGATATTCATAACACATTTCACAAAGATCCCTGCAATTGCCACACATTTGCCATCACAAAGCCCTGTCGTTGATGCTCACATCCCATGCAAAGCAATACTCACTTTTGGGACACGTCTCTTATTCAATATGGCTACGTATTTGCAAAACATGCAGTTAATAATATTTGAAACTGAGACCTAACCAATAAGACATACCGTGGACAGGTAAGAAAAACAAATAAACGTCTGGAGAATGACCTCAACGTCTCGATGTTGCCTAATTACAAAGAGCAATTTTCGGTTTCGAATCAAATACATGAAATAAATATAAACAAAATTTGTACAGATACACTCAATATAGGGTTTATGATTAGCACGGCTACCTAAAACATCAATCCTGTCAGGTTGAGCCACTTATGTCCACACCCAAAGCAGGTCGCTTTGGAACACCACAAGATCCCATATTACCACCGAAAACGGTCACCAATTGGTCTACTGATCAGCATCTTCAGAACATTCTCGACCGAAAAGCTATCAGTCCTGTCTGTGTTTTGGTTCGCTTCATTTGGGCTATGCGCACGTTTTTCTACTCCGGTTCTAGGGACGAGATAGCAGTCATCACGCGCTGCACCAGCTCGTTCTTTGACAGGTTGGTGACGCTGTCGTCATCCGGCAGGATAAACACGTGGCGCATTTCACCCTCGGCCCCGCCAGCCACATACTGATACACACTTCCTTACGTCATATTGTTTCTCGCTACGAGATCAAAGTTCAAAAGGTCGTGATGTAGGCAGTCTCCGCCCAGCCCGAGTCAGGTACTCCACCGGTTGGTCGGGTGCGGCCAGGTCCGCGCAACACCGCCCTACTTCGGTCGACGCTCTGGTTGACAGGGATGGCGTTGTCATACAGTTGCCTGTCGACTGAACAGCGATTCAAGACGCCATCCTTGACCCTCTGAAGCCGATCCCCGCAACGACAAGTGTTTGAGCCTTGGTTGACCTGCAGCAAACAACAGAACAGAACACAATAATTAGGACATTTGTGGACAATAAATTAGGAAACTATTTGTGTTATTATTCTATTTGTTCAGCAACATTAATTTTAGAATATATTCAATAAAAAATTAAATACTTAATGTCACTTAAATTTCCACTAAACGCCACCAGGTGCGCCAACAACTGTCATCTCATGCAGTTATATAAATTCTGCTAAAAAAGTAGATCTGAGGCCAGTCGTACCAACAGAAAAATAGGTGGCTGCTGGATTTTTTTTTGTCTAAAAGTTACTTCACATACAGAGCATTAACGGTACAGCCCTATCCGTCTACGTGCCCATCATGTAACGCTCCATATGTGAAGCAGTCTTTAGGCAAAAAATTCCAGCATGCAACTATTTGTGTTGATAAAACTGGCCTCTAAAATTAACTTTGGCATGGACAATCCTGAAAATTAACTATCCAGCATTCCCTGGACTGACGTACATTAGACACATAATTTTCTTAGATCACGCATAATGTAAATATGGCTTACACCATTCAGCAACTTGCTTTTGTTGCACTTACAAATTAAAGTTGTAGCAACAATTGGGTGAATGAGACACAAGCAGAGGCTAAAACATCCAAATTATGTAAAATACTGGACATGCACTGCCCCCATTTCATGAGTCCACCCAACAATTCTATCATGTGAGACAAAACATTAGGCTTCTTGTAACTAATTTATACCGTAACTTTTAAAGGACATCATATTTCACTGAAATGCTACACCTAAGACATCATTTTCAAAAAAAATATAGCTTAAAAAGACAACAGAAAAGTGAGAAGGCGTCCCGCGCCGCTGACGTCGCTACCGCGCCATGTTCCTAAAACCATCTCTTAAAACGAGTTTTCGGTAAGAAACGTTAAGATCACATGCCTGAAATTGAAAAACACACTTCAAAGTATCTTAAAATATGATCCATTGTTACTTACACTTCAGAAAAGGTCGCTTAAACAAAATAAAACCGGGAGCACTACGTTGCACCCAAACACCCACGACGCGGGCGCGAAATGGCGGGAACCGGAAATCGTGGCTAGATACAAAGAAAAATAATATTTATTATAAATGAATTATACAACTAAGTAACGCATTTTTTATTTTCTTTTAGACAAAATTATGAAAAAAATACAAAGGCTCGTCGTTAATGATAAACAGAGCAAGTTTTAACAGCACGTTTTTGTTGAATTATGGCGGCGAAATCTTTATGCCATCCGTAAAGGTACGCGCGACAAACGGCTGATAGCCATGCAGCGAAAGATTGAAGCGGGGAAGTTTTTTGTATTGACTTGTCGAAAAATCTCGCCGTCATGGGGGTTATTTCCGCCGTAACGGGTCGTCTGAAGGTGGAAACGTCCCAAATTGAATCAAAATATTGATTCTATGCCCATATATGGTCAAAGCTCCGCCCACTAGAATCAATATTTTGATGCCTCCATATTTTGATTCCCGCCGCCTAGTTTGCCCAACTGAGAAGGGATCATGCTCCTCTCCTCCATTCCCCTCCCTTGGGCATCAGCATGGCTGCAATGAGACTAGGACTTAGGACTTAGGAGCCTTTTCCATCCGTGGACTGGTGCAGCTTGGGCTTGCAACTCATGAGTAATTGGCACCAAGATTCAAAACTGGAAACTTCCAAAATCCTAACTCTGGCCATGGGGAGGGTGCCTTGACAGTTAAAGGGACCCTCCCACCTTCAAAAAAGTTAATGAATTGGCATGAAAGTGATGTCCCTTGGTTCAGAAAGAGCGAAAACGAATATCTACCAAATTTCACCGAAAAATATTCACTGGTTTTCAAGATATTAGGCTTTTACTTTTGTTTACTTTTTGGGATCTCCCCTGTTACTAGCGACTTTATTTGGAAGCAATAATTTGGCACCCTTAAAGTGCGGCAGATGTTGCGCGCAAAGCAGCGTATACCACCACGTGTTAAAGGGACCCTCCCACCTTAACATTAGATTTGAGTTGAGATAGCCAAAATGGGGTCCCTGGCTCACAATTACCGGTTTCGGCACTCACAACATCGATAAATGCCTTAAATCGGAAATATTGAATTTCAAAATTGCAGCATTTTGATTCAGAGGGGCTAATGCTTAGGAATACCCCTCTGAATGTGTGACGTCAGCGCAGATATCTAACGATTTTTAAATGTTTGACTAAAACGTTTTGTAGCACGCGGTGGTATATGCTATTTGCGCGCAACATCTGCCGCAAACGCCGCACTTCTAAAATAAAGTCGCTAGAAACAGCGGAGATCCCAAAAAAGTAAACAAAAGTAAAAGTATAATATCTTGAAAACCGGTGAATATTTTTCGGTGAAATTTGGTAGATATTCGTTTTCGCTCTTTCTGAACCGAGCGACATCACTTTCATGCCAATTCATAACCTTTTTTGAAGGTGGGAGGGTCCCTTTAACGATGGTTTTAGTCTAAGATTTAAAAATCGTTAGATCTCCGCTGACGTCACAAATTCTAAGGGGGCATTCCAATGCATTAGCCCCTTAGAATCCGAAAACTGCAAGTTTGAAATTCCATATCTTCGAATTAAAGCATTTTTCGATGTTGTGAGTGCCCAAACCGGTATTTGCAGGCCATGGCCACCAATTTGGCTATCTCAACCATGGGCGGCGCCACCGGGGGGGACGGGGGGGACAGGTCCCCCGCTATCGAAAGTTAGGGGGGTACAGTACCCCCCCTATCGGCGAGGCCCGTTCAATAGTTGATATTAATGCATTATAGAGCTCTCCGTCGCATTTAATGCATCGTTGGTTAATCAAGGCAGGTTCTGAATAAATATTGCTGTTGGGATGCATCGCAGGGGGTCCTGGCCATCTGCAAAAGGTGTGGAGCTGTGATGCCTGTAGTTCAGTTGGTGACACTCCAGGGAAATAAGCTAAAATTAGAGCGCTCTATTTATTGCTCCTGCCCCATGTTGAAGAGATACCCCTAAAAGCGTGATCTTTTATCGGCCCTTACGCAGCAAGGCAGTACTTCTCAGACCGGTGGATGGTATCAATAGAAAGAGAATGCGTCAAAGATTAACATGAATTAATTAAAATAACATTAAAATGTTAATTAAGCGTGGAAATTAGTCCCAAACTTAGGCTAATTATTGCTCCGACCTCGGCGACGGCGCTCCCCGCAGTCAGCGGAGAAGCTAAAATAAAAGCCACCATCCTCCTCCGTAAGTCAATTTTAGAGCGGCCGAGCGCGGCCGAGTGGGCCGATGCTGGGCCACCAAACTGAGGTGAGACGTGGCTAGCAATTGCGAACTGCCATAAAAATCAATATCTTAAAGGGACTATCCCACCTTTAACATGGGGTTTGAGTTGAGATAGGCATGTTTGCGGCGAGGTTCAGAAACCACTATCTATCTAGGTTGCAACCCCCGCGGCCTCTTGGTGTTGAAGAAATTCGTTCCCTTCATTTGAAAATGGGCCTTGTACAAGGCCCTATCTCCAACATGGAGCGACCGTTAGTGTGACGTCACCTCGTTTAGTCATTCTGATTTAAATGGGTTTGATCGTTGAAAAATCGCTTAAAACTTGGTCTGAACTTTGTTGTGGTGCCTACAGAGTAAAAAGAATCAGCTTTATGACAGTAATGTGGCCTGGGGAAGGAGGTAATTTTGGGCTGTGACGTCACATATTTGAAAGTTTGTGTTTGGAATATGGGAAGCCTAAGATGTTAAATGAAAAATAAATGCCAGAACCGTGTTCCTGGTCATCGAATCTATAAAGTCGGGCACAATTTAACTGGTTTTAACAACATTTTAGAAGGTGGGATAGTCCCTTTAAGACGTACAATATGGGATGATTACTCTGAAGCTGGAGTGAAAGCATGAGTAGATTGCAAGAAACGAAATGCATAGATTGGTTGAATTATGTACAATAGGCACGGCTCAGATGAAGCCATTTCTTTGATGTTGACATTTGACATAACCCTTCCTCTCCTCACCTACGACCTAAGTATGTTGGCAGTTACCGGCATAGTTTTTTAGCACGAGTGTAATTCGCCATCGGACCACAATGCATGTTGCTAGGCTGCTGCAATTACAACGAACATACGAATACAGCTGCCTTCATTTGTAGACGTTTGTTTTTTAGGCGGTCTTTGACGTACAAGGGGGCATACCTGTCGACAACTTGAGTTTCTCCGAATTTCAAAAACTCCCAGAATTCCAATTCCTTATGCACTGTTGTAGGTACAGCTATGTTCACAAGTTTTCGTTTCCTCCTGCTCTAAAAAGGATGATATTTGTCGATTTCGTGCGTCGCTGATAGAAGGGTGCGTTTAATAATTAGGCCCAACGCTTTCTGCATCCGCAAGTACCTTGAAAAGGAAACAACAGTTTCCATTTATTACACTATGGGACAAGTGACAAAATGACCACTGCAACACGCATGAAACGGAGCTCATATTCCTAAAAATGTCTACAATCACTTCTTTTCTGACACTATTAGCAAATACCATCTCAAGTTAGGTGGTTGACAGACAGTCAATGGAGATCTGGGGAGACTGAGTGATGCCAATTCACCACTTAACTGATAATGAGGGCCGAGGGAAGAGAAACATGCAACATGCACAACTGACAACTTGACAAGTGACAAAACACTACCACTATTGCGCAGTGCACAACAAATTACAGCAGCCAGCCCAAAAATGCTTTTGGTGGCTAATTGCAAAACAAGTCACTAATAAATGTCTTAGTTGCAGCTGAACACTGCACAATGATCACACTGTTCACACATTGAGTGAGATGCCACAGGTGGTTTGAATCACACTTTGGTACAAATGCAAATCTGAAGTGTTGTCATGAGGTTCATGCCTCCATGATCACAGCACTTTGGTTGTGGTTGGCATAACACTTGTAGTCTGCAGAGTTCCACATGAACCGCAGACACCTCATCTGGTGGTCTTCATGTTGCTCAACTTCTTCAGGAGGCAAATGTTGACCACCCAGCGGAAGCATAGTCCTGCAGAAAAGAAAGGTAATGCATAAGGTACAAACATTATCTGCTGAAACAGTCCCTTCTGTTTGCTGTTATTAAACTTTTAACATAACATAACAACATGCATTCCATGTATATTACATTTGTTGAAGTAAAATACTGCCGGCTATTTCAAAACCAGAAAATGAAATTATATTGTGGCATAATTCACATGCTCAGCTATCAGTATCATTAATTTAAAATTTGGCATATTATATATATAACACATTCATAGAATGTTCTACTTCACGTCACAAGGACTCACAATCTTTCTGTTGGGTGTTTGATTGACCCATTAACTAGGTTTGTCTTAGGTTTTATTATTGCAAAAAATTCATATTGCATTATTGTATCAAAATACTGCCAGCAATAACAAAACAAGAACATGAAATGTCAATGAGCAAGCCGCCTTTCCTAAAAATGGATTACTTTGAAAATAATTTTAGTTTCTTTTAAAGGTAGACTGTCACCTTTTTTTCACTTACCGGTTTTCGTAAGAGGTGCCCGCCCTCACCACAGATGTCCAGTCCATTTTCCGTTATCCTCACCCTGTAACGCGCAATCGCCTCCCAAAGTTCCATTTGATGCCATCTTTTTCGCCGGTGAAAATGCTCATCACTACGATAGCATGTATGACACTTTTCATTACATTTTGGCATCATAGAGATTCATTGTTATTTTTCTTGAATGTTGTGACAAATTTCGTAATACCAATATTAATTTCAACAGCAAAGACGTACATTTAGCAAATTAATGTTGAAGGTTTCCTAGTATACTAGCATGAAGAAAGGCCGATCTCTTAGCATTGTGAAGGATTTCAGGGAAAGGAAAAACTTTGTCGATTTTAATTAAGAGCATTTTATACAAATTTTAAGGAAAAACTCGTCAAAAGGGTTTTATTTATCTTTTCTTATTCACACATATTCAATTCAAAGGCGATAAATTGTTAATTAGCAAATTTGTGGTAGAAGACAATGCTTTTTTTACTTGAAGGGAAGTGGTAAAGGGAAGAC